ACAACAACAACAACAACAACAACAACAACAACAACAACAACAACAACAACAACAACAATAATAATAATAATAATAATAAGCCAAAATTTTAAAAAACCAGTCCCCACTATTCACTTATGAGGGGGAAACCTATCTTTAAGTATAACTATGGTGGCTAGAACCATTGTATTGTTCTGGGAGTTGCGTTCCAAAAGTAAATCACCTAGAAACATCATTTCTAGGTGTTTCAAGAATTTTAACTAGAAGCTAGTCACATTGAAATTTATGAATCAATAAGAGTAAAGAGGTGGTTTGACCCAGTGGACAAAGATTTAGGTCTCTCACTAGTGCAATGGTGTTTAAATTCTTTCTGGATATTAAGGTCACAGGCCAGGCATGGTGGCTCATCCTCAATTCCTATTCATGAATTGTGGACAGAGAAAGTGGGAGGACCATTTCATCAAATGTTTCCAAGATGTTTTGCCAACAATTTCTTATAGGTTGGGTTCATCAACAGCAGTTGCAGCACTTGCATCAGTATACCAAAAGTCATTCTAGGGCATTATTGTGGTGATGGCGGGAAGGGAGCCACCAGAAAAATAGTTGACCTTATTTTGAAATAATATTGCAATGTGGTCTTCTATTTCTAGGCAAGTAAGAAAAAAGAAACATCTCAAAGGCCAGTTGTGGCATTCACCCTCGTGCCCCTTGCCTGACTCTCCAAACACACAGCACACGAAGGCAAACTACTACTCCTTTTTACCCCACTGCCTCCAGTTGATCACTAAATCAACATTAATTATGGAAGGATGAAGATGCAGGTCCAAACTTCACTGTCTTTTAAATGAAACATTTTTAGTGATTACAGATGTTATTATTAATCATAGGTAACTTCTATTATCATAAATCTCAGCCTTCTATTCATCATTACAGTTCTTATTCACTTTTCACTCTAATCACCTCAGATCCCCCAAATACCACACTCTATCTCCTTCTCTACTCTCTCACTGACTCTGACACTGACTGCCTCTCACTCTCTGACTCCGCCTCTTTATTGCATTTCTCTCAGCTCCGCCTCCTAGCAACATTAGCCTGAAACATGAATATTCATAACTACTTAACATAATAGGATGAATGCTACACCAGTGTCCAGTTGTTTTTTCACTGTACACAGAAGGAAAATTACTGGGAAAGGCGTACCTCCACCTGATTTGGGAGAGGTCTTCCTCCCCCAATGGTCATATTCTCATTTTCTCTGCAGCAATATCAGGAGTCTGGAATATTTTATCTTACAGTACTGCATATATGGATAAAAGTTGCTCTGACAACTTAGTTTATTCATGAATGGCATTTTTAACAAAAAAAAGTGAGCATTATTCTAGGGATGAAACAAAAAAATGCATTACAAATTGTCTGGGTTTTTCAAGAACAGAAAACTCCTTTTTGTTCTCCTGGAATGTTAACGTACTCAGGCTTTTGCCCAGTTGGCCTGAGAAGTAGTAGGACCAGTTTGTCTTTCATTTTGCCGATGGCTTTTAATTTCGTCTTTACCCAATAAAACTACTTTTTCCAGGTTGCATGGTTTCCCAGGCATATCCTGTTGTAGTCTGTTATTTCTTGATCAGATCTTGCATCATTTGTTTAAAAATGTTCTTCATTCTTTTAGACTCAGGACTGAATTCGTATGCACCCTTTTCATCTGCCTCATACAGAAAATTCTAGCAACTGCGTACTGAAAACTAACTCAGCAAATTCTGTTCACCTGCAAAGCAAGAGGCCATCTGCTGGGTGTCTGGACCCAGAGATTCCTAAAGTGAATAGAGAAATTTCATTCAGTCAGGGGCCAGGGCTACCATTAGTCAGAATGAAGCAACTGCTGCTGGTGGGCAGCAGACATAGGTTGTCCTGAAATACCACAAATTGTTAGTTATTTACTTTGATATTTTTGTAATTTTGCCATGGAAAAAGTTGCTGGTGGTCTGTTTTTGCCTTGTGTTCCAAAGCTTAACCTGAATATTTACAGTATTGTTGACACCGTACAAATTACAGCTGTATCTGTGTGGGGGAGAAAATAAGTATCTATTTAAGAGTAAAATACGTTTGTCATTACTTTTTCCTTATTGTTTAAGAGTATGTCATTTGTTCCAAAAGCATTCTTGTGCTTGAATAGCCTGAATATTTAAATATTGACATGGTACAAATTACACCTGTATCTGTGTGGGGGAGAAAAGAAGTATCTATTTAAGAATAAAATACATTTTCATTATTTTTTCCTTATTGTTTAAGAGTATGTCATTGATAGAAGCTTATCCCATTTTAAGATGATTACAACCAGTAGACAATTTAAGGGAGCATTGTTATCATTTTCCGCAGAAGACTGCAGATTATTTGAACAGTATTCAGGGTCACTGCACCAAACACTTGTGGTAGGTAACTTGGCATGACAGTACATAGTATTAAAGAAGCAGAAGTGTTCTACATAGTTCACATTCCATATTTAGCAAATACTTCTCAGATAACTTGGTAGTCAGCTGGGGACATGGCATGTTCAGTGGAGAACCCTCATCTCTGGAATCCATCATCCCATTAGGACATCACAACTCAAATGCATTCTGTAAGTTTTTCAGCTATCTATATCAGGTAATAATTGACTTCTGGCACAAACAGGGTCTGGACCCAGTAGTAGGGATGGACATGAACCGCTGGTCTGGCTGTTTGTGCTGGTTCACCCTTTGGATGAACAGGTGTTTGGCACTTCCCAGCCTTGTGGCACAGTGGTTAAACCACTGTACTGCAGCCAAAACTGTGCTCACGACCTGGGGTTCAATCTCAGGTAGCCAACTCAAGGTTGACTCAGCCTTCTATGCTTCCTAGGTCGGTAAAATGAGTACCCAGCTTGCTGGGGGGAGGGGGGGAATGTGTAACCTGCATAATTAACTTGTAAACCGCCCAGGGAGTGCTTGAAGCACTATGGGTGCTTGAAGCACTATGGGGCTGTATATAAGCAGCACGGTTTGCTTTTTGCTCTGCCTCCTCTGGCAGGCACATCCTCAGAGGCAGCACTTGGAGGAGGTGGGGCACGGAAGCCAGGGGGATTCATGCCCATCTCCATCCAGTAGGGTGTCTGCTTAGACAGTCACCAAAACAGAGGCCATGCATTTATGAAAATATGATTTACATGCATAACAAAGGAGGAGAAAATAAAATAACTTACATTACAAAATTTAAGATGCTAATTGTGACTCTGACTGTGACTTAATTTAACATGTTATATAATAGGCCTATTTGAATCTCTAAAAGAGAACACCTGGCCACCTTAGGATTCCTGCCCTCCCCTTTCCATCTAATACTATTAAGAAATCAGAAGTGTTACTTTTAATGGTAAAAATTTAATATACTTCAATCTTAGTGTTAAAATGATAGGAATTTAAAGAAATTTAATTCAGCAATTAGGAGTTTTTTTTTGCAAACATTCCTTACATACTCTTGAACAAATGGAGTGATGAGCTGCATTATACAAATTCCAGATGCAGAGAGTCTTCAGGGGCATAGAAGGCTCTTCATCTGGTCCTAATTACTGCAGTTCAAATTGGTCTACTTAGCCGAAGCTGGCTTGCAGAGACCACAAGAAGTAGCTAGCAATTTTCGTCTTATGCTTTGTCTACTTTTCAACACAGCAAGCAAGCATTATGCTCTTTCCACCTGGAAAGTTACTCCAGCAGCAGCAGCAGAGGGTAAGTGGGCATGTACTAGTACATTGCTAATAGCTCTGTGCATAATAATAGGTTTGCTGACATGTTGTGTGGGTGGTAATGTGCTATGAAAGTTATCTGAGTGGAAGAGGAGTATTTCTTTTACAGAAAAGCTATGGGGATGGGTGGGGTGGATTCTGTAGTCACAGTCCAAAAAAGTAACTTTTGTAAGCTCTGGAAGCCAGCATGCCTCTAGAAGCTACAGGTCAGCAGTCCCATGCACTGAATAAATGATCTAGTTAAATTATAGCCTCTTAATGCTCCTTTGTTTAACTGACAGTTTTATGTAGCTCTAAGCTTATACACTTTGCAGTATGTCAACAAAATGAAACTTACTATCCTATAAATATAAAAATGGAAAGTGTACTGGAAAAACAGCATTTTAATACACATTCCTGTTGAACAAGATAGGGTCCTATGCCAATAAAGGTTACCGAATTGAAACAAGATAGGGAGATAAGTGAACATCCATCTTGAGAACTATTCTATCTAGGGCTGC